AAGAAATAGGGGTCAAACTAATATTCTGTCCATTTTAAATCTCACAAAGACGGAAATGCTATATGCATGGAACCAACAAGTTATACCTCACATTTGCTGACACAATTGTACCAATTGAATAACTAAAAGATTAGAGGAAAAACATACATTGTGTGAATTGTTAATAAATCAAAGCTAAGATGTTCTGTCATACAACAAAAAATCAAAGTGTAATATATTATAAATATGATTTATACATTTTTTTTTACTTGCATATCTATGTTCTCAAGCTACACTATCGCACTACTACCCTCATTTGGTTGAAATCTCTTCCAATCCATCATCTTATCCTCCGCCCTCTTAGGTTGAAATTTATATATAAAGCATCTAATACAAAGAATATCCACAACAAAGAAGTTGAAGATCCAACCTTTATAATGCAAAGAATCCACATAATTGTTGAGTTCATGATAGTGACACGAATGAGCATGCATTCATCTCCAAAGTCCAATCACATGGTCCATTTAGCAACAAATAGAATCGTAGGGGATAGTAATTAGTGGAATGAAAAAAAGGCTACAATACCCAAAGGACCAATGTTTCCACATTGCAACGAATGCTAAATATAAGTGAGATCCAGTCTTTCATGTCTCCTACATTTAGTTTATGACATATAATCGAAATCACCTATAAAATCTTAAATTTCATAAACATGCTAAGCAATGTACTTGTAAAATCATAAATTTCATAAACATGATACGCAATGTAAGAACTTCTAAAATATATAAATAGACCACATTTAAAGAGAGAAATTCCAACCTGCTGTAGGAATGACATGCTACATCCAATGATTGGCAGGCCTACGATTGCCATAATATCATTTGTGAACCAAGCCACAAAGGCGCCTCCAACTAGGAAGTCTATACCCGATAATAAGTGCAAATTTCATTCTCAAGATTGAATAAGTGCAAAGGCGAGAGTTGGATATTGAGATAAGAGAAAGTTATTTGTGGTGACCTTCACAAATCTTTTGTGAATTTGTTCTAAGAATGTGACCAAGAAGCCATATATGGCGATGGTACCACCTATAATTTTAAAAATCATAAAGGTTTAGTATGAAAAATTGAGGAGTGTGCGAGTCATACAAGATTACAGAAAGTATTGAACTTATATTCCATCTTGGAACCTCTCTACTTTTTCTGTTAAGACAAATTGTCAAAAATTTTGATTGATGAGGAAATTAAATTTGGAGTGTGGTTAGCAAAATTTGACTGTTTAGTTCTACTTGAACATTGTGTTTGGATATGTGATTGTTGTATCAAATATGCAAGTTGTTCTTTCTAAATGTCCTGATTGTCAACTTCTCAGTAAAAAAATAAAACTGAAAAATCTTATTTCTTTCATCTCAAGTTTTAGTTTTTGAGATAGCAAATATTTTTAGGTGTAATACTAACGTAGGAAACAAGATTTAGTACAACTAACCACGCCTTATACCTGTTATCTTCTGTCGACTATAATGTATTGTTCAGAATAAACAGCACGCCAACTGAAGACGCTAGTTATTGCCTATTAAATGATAAAGCTGAAGTGTATCTATCAGCCATATATATACAGTTTAATCCAAGTTTAAAAAAGGCTCAAAATATTATTTATAGGATGACATAGAATTTACTTTTATTCAAAATATATTTTGGACCATATTGATGATTCTCGTATGATCAGACAAACATGAAACTAAGGAATGAATGACAAAGGATGACAATTATATATATATATATATATATATATATAAAATTTCTCCACCTATCAAGGGGTTCAAGTTGGGCATTTCTTACCTAAAAAATAGTTCACTTAAGAACAGTGTCGGCTCAATGTTTATAAAAATAAGGCACATGTCTTAGGCCTCCAATTTCAGGGCCTCAATTTTTTATCAAAAATAAATTATGTATTATTTTATTTTTTATAGAAAAAAATTAATTATTTATGATAAATGTATCTCTTTTATAAAATAAATCATATTATTTTATTCTCCTTAATCTCAATCAAATAGAAGAAATCAAGAAAACTTTGTTTTGTCTTCTTACCTTCTTATCGCTAACAGTCATATTATTATTTTTTAAACCCCTTTTATACTCTATGATAAGTTAGAATAATACTCTGTCAAAAATATAGTAAATCAATAGTAAAAATGAGTTGAATAAAGTAAATCGCAAGTAGATTGACTTATTTTATGTGTTTTTAAACCAAAAAAAAGTTTATAAGCAATTTTGTCAACTTAATACTTATAGAATAATGTTAACAATTCATATAATACTTGCCTCATTTAAAAAAATTTAGACCTCTAATTGAAATTTCGCTTTAGGCCTCCAAATATGTTGAGTTGTCCCTGCTTAAGAAAATAAGCCCTTTATTTCCATAAATGGTCATTCGGCACTTTTCCTTACCGAATTTGGCCTGCTTCGTCTTCTTCTTCGTGCTTCCTCTTGTTATTGCTGCTTGATGTTGTTGCTGGCGGCTTGCTATTGATTGTTCTTGCGGCGACTTCTTATCCTTCTTTTTAAAAATAAAAAAGTGATGTACCATAAATGTGAATCGTTTCAAGCGAATAATATATCAAAATATCGAGAGGATTTCATATTTAAAATTTGGGACTGCTTTGAGATGATTTTAAGTTGATCGAGGTTGAATAGTCAATGTATATTTTATGTATAGTTCATGTGGACTTCATATATAGTTAAGTTGTATTCAGTTTTTGAGTGTATCATAATATATGTCAGTGTATAGGTACACTATATTGTATAGTCAATGTATATTTTCTATGACTTTTGGCAAGCTATATTGTATAGTCAGACTTTTGGCTATTTTTTATGTAAATAAAACATAGCTATATTTATTGTAAACTAATTACTTTATTGTATATATTTGAGACTAGTCCTTTGAAATATAAGTTGGGTCAGGTCATGTCTATACATTTTTCCCTTTGCTAAATTTTTTTAAAAACTAACTCTTAGTGCCCGTTTGGATTGACTTATTTTAGGTGTTTTTAAGCCAAAGTAGTTTTAAAGCAGTTTTGAAGTGTTTGTGTAAAGTTAAAAAGTGCTTATAAACACTTATTTTAAAGCCAAAATAACAAAAATAAGACAAAAGCCATAAGTTAGAAATCATAACTTATGGCTTTTGGCTTATAAGTCATAAGCCAAAAGCCAATCCAAACAGGCCCTTAGTTATTTCTTAAATGTTAATTATTCTTGAAAATGACAAACACTCTAAATTAAAGATCATACCTTAAAAGAAAAGTTCAAAATTTAGAATGTTTGTAATTCTAATCTCTTAAGATACTAGTTTCTAAATTAATAAAATTATGCATATTCACTAAATTTATTAATATAAATAAAGAGTTTGAATTAAAGCTATCAAATTCAATTGAACTCATAATTGATTCACTAACTTCACCTCTTATTATGATTGGAGAAGATATAATAATATAATAGGGACATTAATTCATAGAGGTTAAGGATAACTGTTTATTTAAACTTGCCAATGAAGTCAGACCAAGCTAACCCGACCTTCTAAAATTGAGGCCTTACACTAATCTCGGACCAAACTCACATTTAGGGGTTAGGGGCCAATAGGGAGTGAAAAGTGGAATCTATCATCCTCTAATGTATTGTATTGTTAGTTTAAATATAATGTTTGTTTTAATTGTTACTTAAATTCTATTGTATCGTATTGTTTCGTTTAAACTCATCGTTAGGTAACAACGAAAAAACCTATTTTATGTAACGTCCTATTTTGTGTAACAGACTATTTTGTGTGATCGCATTGTTACCTTCATATGTTTCTTCTTATTTGTCTTTTTTATTATTTAATAACTATATTTATCTTTTACCCTACATTTTCAATTTTTCATAGTAGCTCTATCTCTCACCCAATTTTTCTTGTAGGTTTATCGGTCAAATTATGGATGTGTGACATTATGTAACGACGGAGAACAATACAATCTATCCAAATTAAACATTATATTCGTTAAAATAATACAATGCAATACTATACAATACAATACATTATGAAATAACATGTAACAACCATCCGAACAAAGTTTTGTGCATCCACGTTAATCTCCAAAATTGGTGAGCTTAACAACCCTTTCTTGACTGGCGAGTGGAACAATCATATAAATTAGTTAGTTCTAATACATGTAATCTGATTTTTGGCACAAGAACCGTAAAACATCTTGGTGCCTTGCTTCTATCACGGTTTCAACTGAAAATGATAACGACGAGTCTGGTATGATTTTATTTAGTATAGTGGGTCGTGTTTGGGTTAAAAAAGAAAATCAGGTAATTTCAATTGAAATTGGATATTTGTGCAAATTTTGGGTTTTCCGTCATAGAGGTACAGGTGATGAGTTTGCAAACACAGGGTGTAAATGACCGTATGGTATAACAGAGGGTAAAATTAGCTATTAAATAAATGTTGAGGGGTAATTTTGTCCCCACTCTCTTCATTATTTGACAAATGCTTAATGCGACTATCGACATTTTACCCATGTTGAACTTTGCTTATTTGACATAAAATCATTTATTGACGTGGAACCAAATTATAAGCAGAAAAACATAGGTAAAACACCATCAAAGCATAGACATTGAAATTCCAAACACGTTGACAAGTTTTTGGGAAAATTCAAAAAATACCGTCAGCATATAGCAAATACATTAACAAAGAGGTACGTGAATCTTAGCCTCTTATTAGTATACCAAATGAATTGCTTATTCGAAAAAGGGCCACATCATGGTTCAGTTTTCAGGAGAATTATTTGATTTACGAAGAAAAAAACTAACGCAATCATACTCATCATTTAAATACTTTATCAATTGAGACACTACGTTTAGATGAATGTTTTTCAACTCACAAAGATATGGAGAAGGTAGTCTAAAAAATTCTGTCCAAAAAAAGTAATAAAAGCCGACCCTTAAAGGTTGGAAAGGAAAAAGTTGAGCCTTAATAGCGAGATACGGCAAAATTTAGAGTATGGCTTTATTGTCTCTGCATTGATATTTCGCTAGCAGGCGATTTCAAGAACCCTGGCTAAATTTCCGGCCAGTAATCTTCTCAGATTCATGCAGCATGTGATTTATAAGCCCCCTCGCGGCACTGTAATACCATAGGAAAACAATGGAATGCATCCAATCAGAAGGTGGTTCATGATGCGAACTGCCTCCAAGTTATATAATCGTTTGAAAATTCCCACCAGTTTGGAAGGATATCCATTTTATTGAAAACAATAAAAGCAAAAACAACAAGACGGAATGAACTTACTCATCCTTCAATTTCTGAATTTTATCTGGATCAGTCTCATGCATATGCTTTTTGAACTGTTGTCTCACCATACCAACAAGAAGCTGTGTGTTATGTTGCTGCAAATTAAGGCCACACAACTATATAAGTAGCTACTTCTCAAGAGACAGTCAAATTTATATGAAATATTGTAAACAAAATGACAGTTCCATGCAATAGAATAAAAAACAAGCCTAGCTCTTGCACCAGTGCTTTTGGTTCTACAATTTCACATAATTTTTTTATTATTTTAATCAAGCAATTTTTCACATAGTAGGTTCTATCATGCCCAACGTCCACCAAGGTCTTATGTTAGGGGAAGCAGCTCTTTAACATGTAAAAAAGATAAATATATGACAACTTGCATTCTTGTCTTTTGGGGGAGGAGGAGGTGTGGGATTGGGCGTGCGAAATTGTCGAGGCACTTCTCAAATCGGTACATCTTTATTGCTGATGTAAGTAAAACTGAGCAATATATTAAAGGACTTAAAGACCATGGGGTTCACTTGAGGGTGTGAGGAAGGGAAATGTGTCATGGAGTTAATTGATAACTTAAGATGGAAGTGAAGAAATTAATACCTAACAGAATCTCAACCTGAGATCACATAAACAGATTGCGCTTAGTATCAACCACCTTAATCATGCATTTGAATTTTAAGGACCACATGAAAGGATAATCAAACCTAAGTGAATTGTGGGCAAAAGAAGACTGAAAAACTTTATCGACAACAACCAACACAACTGAGAGAATTTTAGAGCAGCATAAAGAAGAAAAACGTACCTTACTGCCAATGTATTTTGCTCGTCGTAGACACTCTCGATAAAGCTAAGAGACAATAGCAAAAAGAAAGAAATGCATACATAAATCACTTTGAAAGTAATTCTGGAGGCTGAATATATTCAAATAGCTAACCATTAAATGATACTTACTCGGATGGCGTTGTTGGCAAGTTCAGGGGGTAATGCTGTTTGGAGAGATGGCATTATGCAACTCAATTCAAACGGTTCCTATAGAAAAAAAAGAGATGTAAGCCCTGTTTGAATGAGGGGATTTGTTTTTTCAAGATTGATTCCAATCAAATGAATTCAAATCTGCATGACTGAAATACTTGAAATTGGAAACTAAAATGTATTAACCAAAGATTTGCACACCTTACATTTTATTGTTGTGGAAAGGAAAAATATATACTTGGAAGACTTGCATGACTATAACATAAAATTACATGTTGTGGACGTACTAACTTCTCAAAAGTTCTCGACTATTCGTCCAAAATTAGTTCTAACTTGATCAACCAAACAATTGCCCCAATTGTTGTTTTATTATTTTTGAGGGAGGGATCATGGATCAAATTGGAAGTCAAATTTGTTACTATTACAGAAGGATGAGTTTCAGGTTAAAAAACTTGATTATCAGTCATTTCATCAAACATCGGGTGGATTATCAGGTAGATTTTGATACTCACAAGCCCAAATCTTCCATAAAAAGGGCCTGTTTTAACAATATTAGTCAATCAATCAACTAAACTTCAATCCTAAACTAATCAAGCCAGCTATCAAAATTCTCTACCACTATTAGAAGGTTCACCATAGTTAAAACTATTTACACCATCGACCAAACATGGCTCCCTCTTCATAACATCCGAGTTCTGGACCCGAGACTTTGTGAAACTCGCATAGGCAAAACTACCTGTTTCAAAAATGAACCAAACCATATCCAAAGAATGCCACAATGATTAAATTTTTAGTACATATTATGGTGGAAGGTGAATGTGAGGAACAACAAACACAGTTTCTGAGAACAAATTCTAAGCAAACACACACATACAGACACAACACTGGAGTAAAAAGATTCATTTGATTCTAGTTTTGGAAATTAGACAAGTTCTAACAGATAAATCAACTGTTTTTCTTGATAGCAGAAGAGAAGAGAGGAGAGAAAACAACTAGAAGAAACATACAGTGGCTTTATCGGAGAAAGAAGCAACAGAGCCTGGGTACTATCAGTAGGAGTTCATCAAATTAAAGAAGGTGCAACTGAAGAGGAGTGTCAATTTGGACATTCTCACAAGTCAGATTGGGCTATTAAAACATGACAGATTAACTTGGAATCTTGGACACAGCCCAAATTATTCTCGTACTGAGTAACACTAATTTCGGTATTCCAGTAGTACAATAACCCAGCACTACAATCAATTAAGCCCTTCCCAGATTGTGATAAAGTTGAATCATCTGGTGCATAACAAAGTCCTAAGGAAGCCATAACAGCATCAACAGTTGCCATACTTAAGCTACCTAAGGCAATTCATGAAAAAAGTCATATATGAATTGACCAGATACAATGACAAGCAAAGGGTACTGTAGTACGGAGTAAACGAGACTATGCTAACAAGAATACGATTATCAAGTAAATCAGATAATAACTAAACAGATATTCCCAATGAAAACAATCTAAAGTCCAAACCCAGATTGCTATTCCACAAGGGCATACAAATTCCAGATGACAGCTTATATCTATCGAGTTGAAGTACAAAGACATTTCTAGCATTCTCAACCCCATATCGGCTATGAATGATCCACTTGTAATATTAACACCTTAACTACCAAGATAGGGAATCAATATCCATGAATCTATTTCTTTAGCTTCAAGTCAATCAACTTTACAAGCCTCCCCCATCCCCTTTTTTTCTTTCCCAACAACACAAAAACCAAAATCAGAAACAAAAACAATATGACACAGAAAACAGTGTAAACTCATAGTCCGACAACCAGGAAAAAAATAACTTTGCTAATCTTTTGTAAGGATTCTTGAAATTATAAGCTGTTGGAACTAAACAGACCATGCAAACTGGATTGGAAGGTCAATATGAAAGAGAGGGCATCAAATAAACTAAATTTGCTGAATTAAGATACGCAAACCTAGAAGAATATCCCAAACACTGCACTTGAAGCAAAAAAAAAAAAATTCTTTAGTGAACCACCAAATCTAAATATCCCAACTAGTTTTATGCATAACATAGGACTCTTACTTCATTAATTACACAACCGAAAAAAATAATTAAAAAGCAAAAACACGCACAAACAGATGCAAGTACTTGACTACAACAACAAAATTGATCTGCAGAAATCAAACCTTAGCTGAATTTTATTGTGCGCCGAGCTCTGTTTTTGTATCAGCGGGAGTGAAAAGGTGCTGACTGTAGAGGATTGGATGCTAAATTTGAAGGTTAGGGTTCAGATCTTTCAAGAAGAGAATTGCCTACTTGCTGGACAAGAGGATTGGATGCTTAATTTGAAGGTTAGGGTTCAGATCTTTCAAGAAGAGAATTGCCTACTTGCTGAACCATTAGTTAAATATGAACCTTCCGCGATGTTGGCTAGAACTAGTGTAGAAAACGGGTGGGTTGGATCAGATATGGCAGATTAAAATGAGTTGGATAAAAAATGGTTACATTATCCAATCCGCCCATACTTAATATGGATATAAAATGGGTTGAAATTGTCAAACACCAGAAAATAAGAATACCAAGCGACCCTGTTAGGTGCATTTTGATTCTTTGCCAGATCCAACTAAAGATCCTAACTTCTTTTTGGAATCAGTGCCACTGTAAAGTGTAAACTATAATTCAATGCAAAAGCTGAGCAAAACTTGTAGTTTTACACAAATCATAAACATAATCATCTAGCAATTGGACTTTGAACACTTATCTAAATGGGTATTCAATTATGTTATTCCATTCAACCATGAATCCGCCTTATAATCATGACCACAATAATTACACTTCGCTCTATCAACTCTGTTAGCATCTTTGAACTTCTAAAAATGTTCCCAAACACTTGGTCTAGATTGTATGGTTTCTCTTTTCTTTGTACCTATACTAGTAGTTTCAACCAAATTTGTAGGTGAAGAAGTAAGTTCGCTTTCAGTTAAACCCACCTCATTTACTCTACTTTCAAGTTCTGTCATCTATGAAAAATTGAATGAAAAGAGAATTAAAAAATGCAAACAGATATACAGATTATAAATTCAACATTGGGATATCTAATTCATCCAATGCTTTCTAGTTTCTATGCTAAAAACCTCTCAAGAATATAGAGTAATCATCTATCCAATCAATGCTTATACATTCCAACCGTAGGCATACATGTAGTAAACTGAAAGAAGGCAGAATCTCAGTGTTCAGTGTTCATTGATTCGAATAATCCTCATTAAGCATGAAAGGAGACAGAATCATAGTCGAAACCGCGATTTCGAAGTGTCAGAAGTACATTCAGATTCGAGTAATTTATTTCAACAATCAATAAATGAACAGAATCTCACACATGTGAATAATCGAACTCAAGGATTCAAGCCTTCAACAAGCAGAAATTGAACTCAGTACCCACGGTTTCAAAGCAGAAATCAGGAGTAGTATTTATTTAACCTAAGGACATGGAAGTCGAAACTTCAGATTCAGAGATACAAATCGAATTCACGGCTTCAACAAGCGAAAACACGCTTTGAATTAGTCTGGATTTAATTATGGCGATTTGTTTTCAACAGATATTTCTCAATCTTCAGTTATTTCTTTTGAAGGAAAAAAAATTAAACAATGATGAAATTTACCTCAAAATGATGAAGACGACGAGCAGCGGCGACGGCAATCGGCGGCAGCGGGCAGAGACTCTCAGCAAAAGCAAGATGAAAATTTTGAAAAATGCGACTTTTTGGAACCCCAGTCTAAAGTCTCAACTCTAAGGGCTCGTTTGGTGCGAAGATAATATCAAATAGTCCTGGATTAAATTATAGTACCACTTAAGGGATCATTTGGTTTGAATTCAAGTTATGATGAGATTAATTATGATGCGATTAATTATGATGGATTAGTTATGATGTGATAAGTTATGATGAGATTATTTTTATTGATTTTTTGGTTTGTTGTATTCAAAATAATAAATTTTAAGAACAATTTATTTGTTTACAAAAATATCCCTCATGAATGTAAAAAGTGATGTAACAAAAGGGTTGAAAGAGACAATTTTGTCGTTTACTTATTTTATCCCGGGATAAGTTATCCCGAGATTACTATACCACCCAAAGGGAAGGATAACTTATCCCGGTACTAATTATTAATTTCGAGATAAGTTATTCCGGACTTGCTAACCAAACAACAAATTAAGTGGTACTCTAATTTAATCCTAGGACTATTTGGTATTATCTTTCACACCAAATGACCCCTTAATTTGTTGTTTGGTTGGCAAGTCCGGGATAACTCCCAAAATTAATAATTAGTATTAGGATAAGTTATCCCTCCCTTTGGTGATATAGTAATTTCGGGATAACTTATCTCAGGCTAAAATAAGTAAATGGCAAAAACGTCTCTTTCAACTCTTTTGTTACATCACTTTTTACATTCATGAAGGGTATTTTTGTTAACAAATAAATTGTTCTTAAAATTTATTATTTTGAATACAACAAACCAAACACTTAATAAAAAATAATTTCATCATAACTTATCTCATCATAATTGATCCCATCATAATTTATCTCATCATAATTAATCACATCATAACTTGAATTCTAACCAAACGACCCCTAAGGAGCTGTTTGGTACAAGGATAAATGGATAACTAATTTTTAGAGTAATTTTAGCATGAATTTATTATATATTTGGTTATGATAATATTGCGGAATAACTTATCTCGAAACTAGTTATTTCAAAATTATAATTTTTTATTGGTTCTACATTGAGGGTCAATAATAATTCTGAAATAATTAATCTAAAATAACTTGTTCCTCGATCAAATGAGCCCTAAGGGGTGTTTGCGTTGTGAGGAAAAATATATAATTGTGTAATATTGTGTATACCATTATATATATATATATATATATATATCATAACGTATTGAATACATAATTTAGACGTTAAAATTTTTATCAAATTAGAAATATATGTCGCCCAATAGGTACTTATCACATGTAACTTCTGATTGGAACTCACATACAACTGTTGAGGTTGTGAATATATATGTACATTGCTAATAACTATATAGTTAAAATTATTTAAAATATCATCTGATGTGCACCTTGTTAAAACGATTCCTCTATAAAATGTTTTAATAAAACTATCATTGAAATCAGTGTCAGTCTTAATGATACAAATACAATATATGATACTGATTTAGTATCAGTTAAGCGAAAATTATCAATCGTAATGATACCAATACAGTATATGATATTAATTTAGTATCAGTTAAGCGAAAATTTTCAGCCGTAATGATATCAATACAGTATATGATACTGATTTAGTATCAGTTAAGCGAAAATTATCAGCCTTAATATGGATTGTAATTATTTGTGAGAAAATAGGTATTTCAGAAATTACTTTTGAATTTGAATTTATGAACTTGTAGTTATTTTAATTTTTATGACCCATTTATCATAGTTTTCCCTTGAATTTATCCGTATCTTCTTTAAATAAAGTAACATGCAAAAACAAAAGCTTATGTTTTGTTTTATAGCAACAATTAAATTAAATTCTTATACACCTCAATAATTTACCCCAAAAAGAAGAGTCAAATCCTTGCAAGACTCCATCATCAGAAAAAGAAGAAAAAAAGCAGAGTTTAAATATAAACATTTTTAGCTCAGTTTAATTAATAATAACGTTGGGATGGAGAGAGGATAGTGCAAGCTCTTTTTAAAGCTTATATTAAGTCTAGATTAATGATTTTAAATAGTATTACACACATCGAGCATGGATATAAATCGACATATTCAGTGTAATCTCATAAAGTGAGGTCTATAGAGCCTAGAGGGTAGAGTGTACATAAACATGATCTTTACCTCAAAAATAGAGCAATTATTTCTAATAGCCTCTTGATCCGCTAAAAAAAAACAGTCTAAAAAAGAAATAAGGAAAAGAGAGTTACTTTATGCTAGCAAGTTGCGCTAATTCATATTAATACCATCTGTAAAGTTGATTGACCTTTCACGTCAAGGTAATGATTTTAAACAGTATTACACACACCAAAAAAAAAATGGGAAGTGTTAAATAACCAGAAAATTTGGCCAGAATTTAGTTAGATAATTAAAAAAAATATAATATTTTTTATATTATAAAATAAACTGATCTTTTTTTCATTTTTTTAGTTAAAATGTATTAAAGTTAAAAGGGTAAAAATATTTAAAAAGATGAAATAACATAGAAAAAATATTATTCTGGCCAAAAGATTTTTCCCAAAAAAATGTTGATAGTTACATTTTGTTTTGATATAAATCCCAAGTTTTTGTAGAACTAATTATTAGCCTTATAATATGATGAATTGATGATCACCAAAAAAGAAGAAGAAGAAGAAGGAACGAAACAAATTAAGGGTGGAAATTAATATATATTATCATATAATGATGCATGCATACATACAAATATTAAGAATACATAGAGACCTATATATATCCTAGCTATATATAATAACAAAATCTAAACACACAAAAAAAAAAATACTAGTATGGCATTATGCCACAATTAATATTTAGTAGTATATATAACTAGATAAAACAGGATTTAGCGACAGATAAACTTAGTAGCTTAATGATAAAATCCACCGCTAAAGTTATTTAGCAATAGATTATCAAAAAGTATGAATAAGTTCGCAGCTAATTCCAGTATTTTTTCGATTTTAAAGGCCACTAGAACCAATCAATTTTGTCAAGCCATAAGTTATAGCCATGGCCAACCAACCTCCAAACAAAACCCTAGCAGATGACTTGATTGCTGGTGCTTTTCCTAACACAGCTCCTAACCATCCAAACACCATTAAAGCTATGGTGACAGCAGCAACAACAGCTCCAATTCTCAGTTTATAATCTCTTATAAAAGATGCAGCCAGTAATGGCACAATTGCACCTACTGAAAATGCTAGAGCTGATGCTGCTGCTGCTTGTGCTGGATTTGGCAAGACATTTTTTTCGTCCTCGTCAGCTCCTTCGATTTTATTTCTTCTTTTATTATCTCTCTTCATTTGAGCAACTTCTATATCGAGTTGAGAATAAACGGAGACAAATTCTCCTATAGCCATAGAACATGCGCCGGCCACTAGGCCGGCGAAACCAGTAAGGATCATGACTTTTATGTCCTTTTTCACAGCACCAATTCCCATCATTAATGATGCGGTTGAAACCAACCCATCATTGGCTCCGAGCACAGCTGCTCGGAGCCATTGGGAACGTTTTGAGTAGTCAAACTCCTTTTCTTCTACTTGTTGATGATCTAGGCTTACTTGTTGTTGCTCCATATCATGATTCATAGAGAGAGTGAACTTAGATTCTTGTTGAGTATTATTACTTGCTTGGTTTGATGCCATAGTTGTTTTTTTTTCTTTCTTTATTTTTTGGATGAAAATGTGAATAAAAATGAATTGGAAATAACTAATTTATAGTAGACAAAAGAGTGAAGAACAAGCAGATGATTGTGCTTAACACACGCCAATAATGCTAGGTATTTATAGAAAGAATTTTTTTTATTGTAGTAGTGGAGGAAAATGTGGGGACTTGTATGAGCACTAACATATAAATTAGTTATTTCCAAGTCATTTTTATTCACATTTTTCATCCAATTATTCACATTTTTTTTCTTTTTTCTTTTATTCTTATGATGGAGTCTTGCAAGGATTGGACTCTTCTTTTTGGAGTAAATTATTGAGGTGTATAAGAATTTAATTTAATTGTTGCTACAAAAATTTGCATGTTACTTTATTTAAAGAAGAATGAAAGAAGGGTTTCTTTGATATACTTTTTCTTTTTTCCCGAAAGAAAGTCCTTTTAAGGAAATAGTTAAAATGTTGTCCTTTAATTTTTTATCATTTCTAGTTCACACAACATCTAGAAAAAGACCAAAATTGTTGCTGAAATTAATGATAAAATATTTATAACGATATTTAACTTATTCATAACTATAAAGAGATCTTAAAAGGAGAAAAAAGAGGGAAAAAAATTAAAATCTTTAACATGAAGAAGAAAATGGTTTTCTAATTTTTGTGCTAATCTATGGATTGGTTTCTCATTTATGTGATAAAAAAGGAGAAACTTTAAGGCATTGAGTTGCACCAAAATTAGGACGTCACGAATAAGGCATGACAAATAAAGATAAGAAAATAAAGTCTTAAATAATGGAGAAGTTTTTATTTGCCTTTTGTCCTCAATACTACTCTCTTGAGTTTTATGTCCATATAGTGAAGAGGACAAATATACACTTACAAGTTACATGTGATAAGTACCTATTGGGCGACACATATTTTTAATCTGATAAATTTTATAACGTCTAAATTCTATATTCAATACGTCATGAAAAAAGTAATGGCTAAAGTTGTTTTTTTAAAACTCCCTTAATTTGTTTTGTTGCGGTCTTGTTTTGAGGTTTTGGTCACTTCATTCAGGGAGCTAGCAAACTCCCTTAATTTGTTTTGTTGCGGTCTTGTTTTTAGGCTTTGGTCACTTCATTCAGAGAGCCAGAATAGAGTTAGGGGTTCATTCGAACCCCCTTCGTGGAAAATATTATTATTTATACATGGTTAACATTATTTTTTATGTATATATAGTAGATGTCGAACCCCTTTCGATTAGTTCGTGGTTTACTTTTTCAAATTTTAAACTCTCTTATTAAAAATCCTAGTTTCACCACTGACTTCATTCCCGTGTTTAGTTTGACCAAAGAGGCTCATGATTTTGGTAGGATTTTTATTTTTTTAAATAGCATAATGAGTGATAATGAATAGATTTATTTCTTTGTTTTATTCAATATCACTCATTTATGCACCTTAAAAAAAAAAAATGAAAACCATCACCAAAATCATAAGCCTCTTCGATCAAAGGAAATACAAACAAATAATAAATCAGTTTTGATTTGTTATTCAGCTCACCTGATAAATATAAAAAAAATAATTTAAATGACCTCCATAAATCTTGTTATATAAACCAATCTTGTTATAGCCATTATTTTCCCATTCCTAATTTTGGTGTAACTAAATGCCTCAAAGTTACTCTCTTTTTTTCACAAAAACCAATCCCACAAAAATTAGAAAACCATTTAACTATTTCCTTAAGAGGACTTTCTTTCGGAGAAAACAAGAAAAAGTAATCAAAGAAACCCTTCTTTCATTCTTCTTTAAATAATAATTAAAAAAATACAAGATCTAATTTACTAAATTATTTATTCTTTATTTTCTATATATATTTCTTGAGGATTGAGCAACACTTTGTTTTAATGATAAGAGTATATAATTACAAATAATTGCAAACTTTTAATTGTGAAAATGGGCAAACACTATGAAAAAAATATCTTTTAGCGACAACAAATATGCACATTAACAAAAATTGGTAAAACCTTTACCAATATTAGTTAATTGTCATTGAATCAAATGTCGCTATAGACTTTAGAGACATTTACAAAGAATGTAAATGCCACTAAAAATGCATATGTAATGACAATTAATTGTCATTACTTAATTGCTACTAAAGATATTTTTAATGTAGCCAAGGGAGTATATTCTGTATTCAACTATTGTGAAATTAAGTGGAGAATCACGATTGCTTTTTCTTGGAATTGGATGAGAAGTGGGATGAAAAAATAAAGAGAAATTTTGAAAAAAAGATAAACTAATTAATGTATGATTTTACTCCAAAAAGTTGTCAAGTTTAGTCGGTGGAACCTGTAAAAATTAAACTAATGCACGCAAGCAAGTTTGAATATCATTATTATAAAATCAAAAAAAAAAATGATCCATATACTTCATCGATTTTATTTTATTTTATTTGACTCCTAACAAAAAGTTATGATTTATCTTAATTGCTTATTTTAGCAAATTAAGATAATTTTAAAATTATTTTTTCTAATACAATTCTTAGTATTAAATAACTACGTAAAGTAGAATTAGCAAAATATAAATTTTCGATGATAAGTTAATTTAGTAAAATAAGTGCACTAAGTCAACCGGTACCAAATAATATAAAACAAAGAAAATACATAATAATAATAAAAAAACAAAAAAAAACTGAATGGTACTAATAAACTAAGGCCTCTTTTAGCAATTACTTCAGTATCTGTACCCTAAATGGTCTCTATGATCTCACTGTCTCTACTTAAAATAAAATATTTTACTCTAATGTACCCTTTAAGAAATTGAACAAATGTTTTTTATTTTAAATTCATGACTAAAATATTTGTTTAATATTTTTTATAATTATGCATTGATCTTTACAGTTCCAATACCTTTTGATGGTTGTTGGGATTCTTTTTATAACTACCTTCATTATTCAATGTGTGTATAATTTTACTTTGTTTTTAACAATTCATAACATTCAAATTAATTGTTTTTTTTTAAGAAGCTATAGCCATTTAGAGATTATTTTTTTTTAACTTTAACTTTATTTAAGTGTGTTTTCCACCAACGCTGATTGAATGAATCATTGTTTCTGCTATACTCCAAAAATTTACACCTTGACTTATTATCATTATTATGTATAATTCATACATTTTAAGTTAATGCCGAAGATTGGACTTTTTTTCGTATTTTGTCAATCAACTCACACTGACTCAAAAATAAAATATAATCGAATAAAAAGACATTCAAATTTGACAAAAACAAAATAAGAAACTTACCTCAGCTAAGCCTTTTTATTCCTCATTTAGTACTCCAAAGTCATTACTCCCTATTATTCAATGACTAAGTTGCTTTATCCAAAATTAGTATTGGAATTATGATTGTTAAGTTGATACTGATAGAAGGAGTGATAAGTTTGGAGTAAATGAGGAATAAAAAGACTTAGCTTAGGTAAGTCTCTTATTTTTTTTTTTGTCAATTTGAATATGTTTTGTTATTTGACTATATATTATTTTTGGGTCTGTGTGAGTTGATTAACAAAATACGAAGAAAGTCCAATCTTCAGCATTCTCACTACAAATCTAATGGATATATTCTCATATGATAAATGACACTTTGTAGAGAAGATTATTTTTAGTGTTGTAAATTTGTTATAAAGTTTTTCTTTTTAGATTGTAGTTCATATAATTCCTATATAAAAACGCATCTCATTATACAGATTTTATTAGAGAAAAAGTATATAATTTTTTTTTACAAATTAGTTATTTAAGAATTTTGTAGATAAAATTATTTTAGATTGTTTATGAGTTGTAAATTTGTTATAAAAATTTTCTTCTTACATATTAGTTCATAGAATTTTTATGTAAAAATGCATCTCATTGTACAAATTTTACCAGAAAAAGATATACATAAATTTTTCACAAATTTGTTATTCAAGAATCTTGTAAATGAGATTATTTTTAGTTTGCTTATAAGCTGTAAATTTGCTACATAATTTTTATTTTTATATTTTACTTCATAGAATTCTTATGTAAAAGTGCATTTCGTTGTACAGATTTTATTAGAAAAAATATACAATTTTTTTTACAAATTTGTTATCCAAGAGTTTTACTATATTTTCATGATATTAAAGCAAATTTAAAGAAAAATTCTTCATCTTCTCTCGATCTTCTTCTCAACAATTTTCTTATTCATTTCTTCATAGCAACGAGAAATGTCACTAAAACTATTAGTTGAATTTTTCAGGGAGAAAATTATTAAAGAAATCGATTCTAATTATCTCACAGTTTAGCATAATCGAATTCAACATGAAAATAACCTCATTAACATCATTTTTTATGGATCTAACTATGAAAATTGAAAGAGATGGATTATAATCACTCCAACTAAAAATATTTTTTTTTATTAATGATAAGATAACTATTTTATAAAAGGACTCACCTTTGTTTGAACAACGATAAAGATGCAATGGCATGATCATTGTTCGATTGATAAATTCTCCACGTAAGAAAATCTCCAAAGATGTGATGTGTTATTTGATCACTGCTTCAGATTTGTGGAATGCACTTTAAGAAAAATATGAGTAAATTGATGGTACAAAACGTTTTCAATTGCAAAGGGACCTGTACAACATGATAGAAGAAACAAATTATATATCTAGTTATTTAACAAGCTAAAGAAATTATGAAATCAGATTAAGGTATTGAACATCTTCATGAATTGTGGTTGTGAATGTAAGTGTGATCCTAAGACATACAATCATAAGATAAATGAAAACAAGAAGTTGATGCAATTTTTAATAGGCATGCTTGAGTTGATTGAGAAAATATAAAAAAATCAGTCTTCAGCATCCTCATCACAAATTTAGTGAATACCTCCTCACATGATAAATAACACTTTGTTGATGAGATTATTTTTAGATTACCTATGAATTATTATTTTTTAACATTTAAGTTCGTAACATTCTTGTAAAAAAATACATCTCATTGTGTAGATTTCATCAGAAAAAATTATACATAAATTCTTTTACAAATTTGTTCTTCAAAAGTTCTAATATATTTCATGGTATCAGAGCAAATCTAAAGGACAATCCGTTATCTTCTCTCA